TGGGCCGAGGAGCTTGGAGGAGGTGGGCAGCCGCTGCCGGAGAGGGAGGGCCAGCTGCTGCCAAGGCCACCGCCCCAGCTCTCTCGGACTCGGCACGAAGCCTCCTGCCAGTTGTGGCCCCTCGGTTGTGTGTGGTGGGGTACGCTATGCCGGTTGGCAGGCTGTCCCCGCCTGTGCCCATGCTCCAGCTCGTCTCCCCATCAGCCTGACTGTGCCTCAGCCTCCCGACTCAGGACCTGAGGCAGTTGTTACAGGGCAGTGCTGGTAGGGTCATGCCCACTGGGACTCTGGGGCCCTTTGTGGTCTCTCCAGAGTGTAAATGACCTCGTCCCCTGGGTGGCCAGTCCCACCTGACACCCTGTCTCCTCCCGCCAGGCACCGGCAGTGGCTCCGTGTCCCATGCCATCATCCGCACCATCGCACCCACGGGCCACCTGCACACGGTGGAATTCCACCAGCAGCGGGCCGAGAAGGCTCGGGAGGAGTTCCAGGAGCACCGCGTGGGCCCCTGGGTGACTGTGCGCACCCAGGACGTGTGCCGCAGTGGCTTCGGCGTGAGCCACGTGGCCGACGCCGTCTTCCTGGACATCCCATCGCCGTGGGAGGCTGTGGGCCACGCCTGGGATGCCCTCAAGGTCGAAGGTGTGTTGGGCCCTGGGGGTACTAAGCCCCTGGCCCTGGCACTGTGTCCTGCAGAGCCCAGAGTGAGGAAGAGTCCCCAGGCCTCACAGAATGAGGGCTAGGGCAAGCCCCAGCTGGGCCCCACTCCTCCCCAGGAGGGAGCTGTCCGAGGCCTGGGGAGGGGCTCTGCAGCACGGGTGCCTGGGAGGTTGAGGTTTCTGGGCCCCTCCCTCCATGTCCTCCCTGCCCCCCACTGGGCCACAGAGCAGAGAGCCGCCCCTTGTAGGGAAGATGCTGGGTAGGGAGGCGGGGCGGGAGCTGGCCCTGAGCCAGCAGCCGGAGGAGCCCTGGGTTTGCCTTTTCTGGAGAAAGATCTGCTCAGGCGCCTGGGCCCTTCCTCCTCCCAGCCGAATGTGCAGCCGGGAGTTGGCGTGGGTGATGCAGGGAAGGCTTTGCCCTGGGCTTCATGTCCTGGTCTCTGCTGAGAGGTGGCTGCTGGGGTCCAGCTCTGCCACCGCATTTGCGGGGTCTCCTGCTCCAGGGACACTGGTGGGTCCAGGCCTCGGCCCCAGGGAGGCCGAGCCCCGGCAGTCCTCCCTCTGGCCTCTCTTGCTGCAGGACCCTCCGTATGAGCCTGTCGTATCCCACTGGGTCCCTGGGAGCCTCCCGGGGCCTTCCCCTGGCTGTGCTGGTCAGGCCACAGCCTCCTGCATGTGCGTGACCTGGCATGTCCATTGGCTGGCGTGTGTGCCATGTGAACCCAGCTGCGGGAGGGTGGCCTGGGCAGGGTGCCTTGTGTGCTCGTCCTGATGGGTGGCATCAGGCTGCAGGTGCCTCTGGCCCAGGCTGCCCAGCAGCCCAGGGCAGAGTGTGGCTGAGACCAGGTCAGGACGTTGAGGGCCTGCCTGAGATGCACACCCCTTCCCTGAGGTCCTTCCCGTGCCCCTCCTGCCAGGACAGGACCCGGGCAAGCAAGCCCGTGGGCTGCCCTGGGGGCGGCAGCGGGAGGGGCTGTCACCCTCTGTCAGCTCCTGGCTGTGTAGGGAGCGGAGCGGGCGGCAGCCTCTAATTTCCTGTGCTGGCGGCGGCCCCACCCTCCTGTCAGCGGCCCGCGCACTGGTGCCCTGGTGCCGGTGCTGCAGGAGCTGCTTCTGGGCCGCAGCCTGGCTGCCTCCTGGAGGGTGGAAGCTGTGCTGCTGGGGGCCCGGGAGACAGTGGAGATGGCGCATGGGCTTAGGGTGCTCCCGGGCACCCAGGCTGTTGGTGCCGTGAGGGCAGGTCCGCAGCACAGCCGCTGCCCATACCCCAGTGGCTCTGGCCCATCCTAGGCCGGCCTCAGCCCCTGCCCTCTGACCCTGTGTCCCACCCCCACAGGTGGGCGCTTCTGCTCCTTCTCACCGTGCATCGAGCAGGTCCAGCGGACGTGTCAGGCGCTGGCGGCCCGCGGCTTCACGGAGCTCAGCACGCTGGAAGTGCTGCCACAGGTCTACAACGTGCGCACCGTCAGCCTGCCCCCGCCTGACCTGGGTGCCTGTGCCCACAGCCCTGCCGGCCCCGGCCCCAGCCTCTTCCGCAGCGGCACACCCATGAAGGAGGCTGTGGGCCATACCGGCTACCTGACCTTTGCCACCAAGACCCCGGGCTAGTGGACCGCTGCCCGTGGACACCAGGAAGTGGGGACCAGCGGGCAGGGAGGCCGGGGCGCCATCAGTGGTCAGTGGATGGCGCCAGGGCCTGTGTTTAGAATGGACGGTGGGCAGGGCGGGGGGCCTCCTGTGTGGTCAGAGGATGGGCCCAGAGGGGCCACCATGTGGGGCTGGTCCCACTGCTGTCACTGCTGAGCTAGGTGACCTGTCCTGGCTGCTGCTTATGGCCCCTGTGAAGCCTCCCCTGCCAGAGATGCTGGGGTTCTGCAGGTCGTGGGCTGAGCTGGGGCACTGGCTGCCTCCCTGTCCTCCCTGGAGCTGGCAGCCCAGGGCCGGCCTCCCCTTCCACCCTGGGCAGTGTCTGGCTGGAGCCGTGGCCACAGCTACATGGAGAAGAGCTGAGCAGGACAGCCATTTGCTCCTGGTGGCCTGGCCTGCTCACTGGAACCAGACCCTGGGGTCACGGAGAAGCCCCCCCACCAAGACAGTGGCGCAGGTTAGGGGTCCTGTGTCCAGGACGCCTCCAGGAACAGTTTCCTCAATGCCTTTGAAGGCTGAGGGACACTTCCTGGTACGGGGGTTCCTGGTCAGCTGTCCTGCGGTGTGGCGGGCCTCACTTCCATTGCTGTGGCACACTACTGGCACTGAGGCAGGACCAGTGCACGAGAACTAGACGGTCTGCCCGGCCATCACAAGCCTGGGGTCGTGCTGGCACCAGGCACCTACTGAGCAATAAAGCGCTACCCACCTGCCGCCTGGGCTCCCTGGCTGCCCAAGACGCCACCATGCCAAGGTCCAGGCCTCCCCACGCTCCGCCCTCTGGCCCCAGCCCTTTCCTTTCCCTGTGTCAGGGTAGGTGCCCCAGGGACTCTGAGCTTCAGGACAGCGGTCTAGGACCCAGTGGACAAAGGGGTGAGTGTGTGGCCACCCCCATCCCGCCACAGAAAGGGCCACTTGTTCCTGGACTGGGGGTGGGGACGTGTCGACAGCACTGTGCCTGGGCTTGCGCTCTGCGGGCGCCTGGGCCCCCGTCACTGGGAAGTCTTGGCCTCCCGGTGGCCCTTCCAGGGCAAAACGACTCTCCTGCTCCAGGGGTGTGTCCCTCCCAGGACCTGGCTTGACCTTGTGCCTCGCCCAGGGACAGAGTGGGGACCAGGTTCTGCAGAAAAGTGGGCCCGTGGTGCCAGAGGTCCGTGGACCAGCTGAGCGCGTGTGCTTGGGGCGCGTGTGCTTGGCCCGTGGTGATAGGAGAGCTTCAGGCCACAGCCTCACAGACTGGTCCTCCCACCCCGGTCAGCCCAGCTGGCCTACCTGGAGCCTTCCTGGCTGGGCTGAGCTCACTCCCCAAACCAGCACCCTGTGCTCCTCAGCCCGTGCCCCCCGGGTCCCCCTGCCAAGTCCTGCTCTGGGTCTCGGGGTTGGCTCAGACCTCACGCAGCCATGCCCAGCCAGCGCCCCCGTAACTGTCCCACATCCACACTGATGTCCCTTGGGCCGTTCCCCACCTGGAAGCCAAGCAGCACCCAGTTCTGCAGATGGGGCACCTAGCTGTCAGAGGGCAGGCTGGGGTCCGTCAGTGAGTGGCCAGTCAGCAGGTCCCTGATGGTCACTTCGAGTCAGCAGCATGCGGCTTGTCACAGGGCAAGGGTTCACTTGGAAAGTCCCTGTCCGGCCTCATTTTTTCCTTAGAAATACCACCCTAACCTCACTGCCCTGCTCCCCTCGCCCCACCAGGGTGGCTGAGACAGTGACTCCTAGAGCCAGGGCTGGGATTCCCGATCTGCCGCCGCCTCCAGGAAGGACCCCGCCCCCACAGCGGGTCCACTCTGGCGGCGTGGACATGGGGCAGGGTTTCGGGACACCTGGCTGCTGGGGCACACACTGTGTCTGGCAGAATGTGGCAAGGAAGGCCATCTGTCCTGGGAGCAGGGCTGGCTGCCACTGCCCCTGCCCCTGCCCTTGGCCTGCAGTGGAGGGCAGGAGCTGCTGGAGGGGGCCCTGTGGGTGGAGAAGCTGAGGCCCAGAGGTGGGATTCACTGGGATCTGGGCCTTCTGCCTCTGTGTCTGCCTGTGACCTCACACGACAGACACTCTGGCCCTGCGTGGTCCCCCAGAATGTGGCTGAGGAGGGGAGAGGCGATTCCCGAAAGAGGAGGTGCTAGTGTGGGGTGCTACCTGGAGGGCTAGCTGGCCCCAGGCAGGAGCTTCCTGGCAGCCTGAGGTAAGATGGAAGTAGATGCTGCTGCCCCACCCCACATGCCAACTGCTGGGCTCGTGTGCCAGCCTGGGGTGCCCATCTCCTGGTGGGCTGGACAAGGAGTCCCAGGGAGGGGCCTGCCCCAGGACTGCATGTGGGTGGGGTCTGGCTGGGCACCAGCCTCGGGAGGGGTGTGCTTTTGTCTTGCACCAGGTGGATGGTACACCCACTGTGTGCCAGACTCTGGGAGCTGAGGGCCCACCCAGGGGCAAGCACAGGTCAGGGAGAGGGCGACCAGCAGGGCTGGCGGCTGGCACTCTGCTGTGAGGGAGGCCAGCACGGAGGTGGCCACCTGGTCTCGGCTGGCCCTCAGGCAGGGGCTAGTGCCGGCGGCCTGTCCTCA